TGTTCACCTCGTTTGTCGAGGTTACGATGTAAATCCGAAATGGTTATCAATTTAGATCTATAAACATGTTTTACAAAGACTATAACTGGGTTGATTGTCTAATCCTTCCAAAGCTAAATTTTCAAGATTTAGTTTTAAGATAAGATGCTCTCATGTTAAAGTTTAGATCCTTTGGTACCTCCAGTTAATCCTTAACTTAAAAAAAACATAGATTCGCCATTTTAGTTTTCTCCAATCTTTCTTAGTTTTTAAAATTCTAAAAAATTTAGGAAGGTATAGCATAACTTTACTTTTATACTCTAGAAATACAGTAATTTGGTAATGGAGAAAATCAGAAAAAATGTGGTATGAATGTAACTTAAAAAAAAAAAGTTTTAAAATTAATCATCTGTAAATATTTATGAAAAAAATACGATCAAGAACGAAAATAATTGGAGCAGTTTTTGAAGTAAGGAAGAACTATTTTAAAAATTATATGCTCTATAAAATGTAATAAACTTTGTGAAAAACTTTAAGAAAGTGAAGAAAGTAACAAGAAAGAGATATAAAAATCAAAAATATTTTTTTTTACTATCTGTAATATTTTTGTGTAACGCCGTTTAATCAGCTAAAGGAAAATCTAAAAACTAATTAAAAAATTTGGCCAACAACCCGGCTATAGTCTTTAATAAAAGTAGTAAAACATGTGTGCGTGAAATAAACTTAAATAAAAACAGAATAATTGGACGGATTATTTGTTTGAGTAATAAAAAAATCTTTTAACCACGTACTAATCCATAAAATTTTAAACTCGTGCGACACAATCGGACAATTCATAAGTATAATTTTATTTCCGTTCACGTGCAATATCATGCTCAAACATTTGCAGGTATGCGTTACAATGAGTGGTAGAAACTGAAAATAAACGTTTTAATTGTGTCTTTACCTTTATAGCGCCCGTAAAAACTCGAATAATAAACATCTGCTTGCGCGAAACTGCTGCAAATTAATTTCTCCTGCTATTCAACGACCATTGATTGCACATAGCTAGAATATGTTGGCATTTATAATAAATAATAAGAAAACAAAGATGAAAATGTGGACGTCAAGCAAATGCGGATGAAAGAAGAAAAGAGTAGCAGATCAGAAACGTATGGGATATGGAGAAAAGGGCGGCAGGTAGGTGTGTGAAAGCGTCTACAGAAACAGGGTGGCCCAGGGTAGTAGGGGATACTGTAGTCGGCGCTGCAAGACGCGGCAGCCATCATCGAATACTAATGAGGGGTTGGTGTCTCGTCGTTTCTCTTTCACACGCACACGCACCTCGAGGAGGAAGGACAGCGTGGATAGTGTAAGCCTCCTCCTTCTCCTGATCACGGCTTGGCAACAACAGCGACGGATCGGTCTGATTATAAATTATGCATTATCTCTGGTCGGATTACAGAGGAGTAGGAAGATAGGCACCTTAAAAAATCCAGTTTTGGCCGATACACGAACAGCATCCCTGAAATTCTGCTGATCCACCACTCCATTTTTTTTTTCTTCTTCTTTTTGTATCCTCAAACGCGGAAAAGATGGAGGAGCTTTTGCATAGCTAAGATCACGTTGTCGACGGATTAGAACGTGAAAAAGGTGATGTCGTTGTCGCATGTACAAAAAAAGTAAGTAATAATTTTCAATGGGAGAAGGAAGCCAGCAAAAATATTTATGGAGTTCGCAATTGTAAGTAATCGAGCATGAGGTGATTTTTAATTCATTTATAAAAAACGAGAGAGCAGAGTTGACAGAGAAAAAGTGTCATTACGACGTTCATAATGTACGAAAAAGTTGTACTTTTTCTTTAAAAGATTTGATTTGATACATTGTCTAACGAAAAAGTTAAATGTTGGAACGTGATTTTTATGAGCCCATGTTTTTTTAAAACTCCACAATTTTTATCAAGTTAAAAAATATTTATCGTAAAATGAAAATTTTTTCAAGTGCAATATTTTCGTACGTTTTCCATACTGCAAAGCATTATTATACCCCAGAGAAAACCATTTATTTTCACTAATTACACTTGTCTTCGATCCAAAGCGTTGGTTTGCCTTGTTATACAAAGTTTATGATACAATTAAATTGTTTTTGACAAAATCTACAATTGTCTCCCAAATTATACTTGCGTAAACTATAATTTGCAGAGGAATTGTGAAATCAATTCATGAAAGTTTAAAAGTTTAATGAAATATAACTGAAAAGTATAATTTATGGATCCGTTTTATAAATTTGAAAAATTTTTTTTACTAAAAAACGATAAGTAAGTAATGCGTAGTTACAATTTTTGCTCAAAGAAAAAAATAAATCAGACTTCTTACAAAACAATAACAAAAAAAAAGTTGAAGATAAATATTTCAGATCAAGGAAAAGAATTTACGTTGTAAAATAGTGTTTGAACTATTATAAAAAATTAAGTAATGATTTTATTCGAGGAATTCACAGCTAATGACAGAGAAGAGTTTTTCCTAGAGAACAATTGAGCTCGAAGTGAAGCACTGGAATTCCATTTCATTAGATTCCTGCATCATGCGGTAAGATCAAAGCATCAAAAGAATCCGAACCATTTGGTGCAGCGGTACTTTAAAAAAAAAAAAAAAAAACTGTTCAAGATTAAAATTTGTTTTCTTCTGCAACAAAACAAATTTAAAAATCTTAAAAATTCCAGAACTCAGTGGGTTTGAAGCCGTCACCGCGACCATTATTATTACTATTGCGGTGTATAGTCTATACAAGAGAGAAATGTCGACCTTTCGGAGCTGCCATAAAAAGTAAAACACTTCCAGAAGTGTAAGTGTATACACAGAGGATCGTCTCGGTTTTGGCTAACAATTTTCCAAACTGCGCGGAATCAAGTGTACCCTATAAACGCATAAACGTCGGTACATAATGATTTTATGAGCTCGCGATGGCCTTTTCCTCCATCTCCCCTTCGCCACCTAGTGTACGGTACCTAATAGTAGTAGTAGGTAGTAGTAGTCTCTACGACGATGGCTAGCCCGCTCCCTCCTATCGAAGACTCTCGTTTGTTTTCCCATTTAGGAAAGTGCCCCTGTACGTCCGCATAGAAGCTCATGGACACGTGTATGCGTACACTCACATACACATGGACACACATTCATACATAAAACGTCCAAGCAGCCAAATGTTAAATTCAACGGTCTCCCCTTCGTTCCTCTTTCTCATATTTCGTTTTTACGACCTCACGGCTAGATCTGACTCATTTCTTTACTAAAATAAGAAAGAAAGTCGCTGTACGCGATTCGACTATACCGAGCTGATGCATCATTGTGGAAATAATTAGAAATGTAAAAACATTAAGTTGTCCCATATCAAACGGATCGATTGGTAGAAAAACTAAATTTTAACCCATTTCACTACATTCAAGTTTCGACGTTTACCTTGTCACGTTATAAACTGGGTAAACGGGCCATTACACAATGATGATAAAATGAGGAGTATCAAAAAATTATTACTACAGTCGAGAGTTTTGCCCTCATATCCAGCACCTCCATCATCAAGAGTAACTGTAGCTCGATAGTATGAGCAATGCGTGCATGCACCAAAACACGTAGATATATTTTAACTGTGTTTATACAGTTATACCTGAGGCTGAAGCACAACTTCCCAAATGTCAAAATTTAAAATGAAACTGCTACGAGTCGTTTAAAAAAAGTACAAGTTTATCGAACTCTATTTAACATTCGAAACACGGGTTCATTATTGATCATTAAAATATCGTAGCAGCAGAGCGATCAGACGAGCGTGAAATGTAAACTAGAATACAATACAAAGTTCGTTTCATTCGAGGAGGGAGGAGGAGACGACGAAAACGAAGGCAAGGGGCGCATGTGGGTGATAACGTTATGTACACTCGTACATCAGAAACCGTCAGAAACGATAGAGTCGTCGTACCGCGCCAGTCTTAATTGGCAGCAGTTCTGTATCGGTATATTCTGTATCGCACACGCATTGAGTGAACATTAATACTCAGTACGTAGATGTACATGGGAAGACAAGGAACGAAGGGGAGGAGACGTGTCGCGCCTACCTATACGAAAACTCCACCAGACGGTGAGAGGAGCTGTATCGCGTGGACGCACGTGTGTATCAACTGCTGTCGCACACACGAACTCGAGCATTTGGCGAGAGGACGGCGTCGACAACGGGTGCGTGTAGCAGCAACAATGAACCGGCCTTGAAATTCAAGCGACGAAAAATTTTTTCAATGCCAAATAATCCGACTCTTTGGACAACCAGGCCTCAATGTCAATGGCACTTCTCTCTCTTTTTTTTTTACTTTTCTTTACTCTTTTCCCCTTTGTGATGATTTCTGCGTACGCGGACCTAGAGAAAAGAAATACGAACGGGATGGTATACGTGATTCTATCTATAATGTACACAACTAGTAGTAGGAGCAAACAAATCACCATGCACGCCTCTGCTTACGTGGTGCGTTACACATACACATCTAAGAGGCAAACAGGTTTGTCTCTTCTTGGGCGAGGCCGAGCTTTTTTTACCTCTTCTTATTTTTCTTTTGGTTCGCGATCAATTTTATTGTTATCGGGGTAATCAAATTCGCCTGGGTTTTTTGCGGGATTGAGATTGCAAAAAGAAAGGGGACTTGACTTATGTTAACGGTTGCTTGTGGATGCGGAGACTTAGGTCGTGGGGTATAAGATATATGCTCACTATTGTAAATTTCAATACGTTTTAGTTTTTTTGTTTTTATACGTTTTTTGAAAGGAAATAATTAATCCGTGGAATTAATTGCAAGCTACATCCACGCCAAATGAATGCAAATATAATTATAAATACGTAGACATACTAAATTGAATTACATCAAAAACGGGACCATACCTTTGCATTTAATAATAATTTAAAAACTTAATAAATTATAGAAAAGAATTGGCAAATTTGCTTTTTTTTTTTTTTAATGTACTTGTCACGTGTAATGGGTGATGGAAAAATTTCAAGATACTTACCACATACAACTCTGTCGAAAGGATTCATCCAGTCTGTAAATCAAAAAACAAATATTTACTGTAAATTAACGTTGAAAATTGGAGATTTTTCATTAATAACGAGCACATTGAGGAGCTTTTCTTCGGAATAAGGAACAAAGTGTGTTTACTTTTAATATTTCAGTCACAACTTAAATTTAAAAACGAACGGGGTTATAATATTAATATACTTGTAAAAACAAGCGATTATGAGGTTTGAAGTTCCAAAAAACTGCAGGATCTCGGTGATGGTTGAAAATAGCCGTCTCGTTGCAAATACATATTAAATTAAGAAGTTTGCTTTCATAAGTCGCCATAATTTTAATTGCTGGAAATAGTTTCGAGAAACTCTACTGCCTTCTGCTATCACGCCGATTGCAATTAAAGCCTTGCAAGTTGTTACGAAATTCATGCGTTGCTAAAATATATTTTTTTATAAAAAAGATAGTTTCAGTTTTACCAATATAACAATTTAATTTCCATTGAATTGCGAAAAAAACGTGTACTCTTGACGCTCACGGTTCTTCTTCAGCGGGTCGAGCATCCGACGGACGACGCCATGTTTCTCGTCGTCGTCCGTCGGCAAAGCTCGCGCGACTGCCTCATCTCTAGTGGTATGTAACTTTTTTGCGTCTATTGTTAACGACCTCAATATGCAACAACAGTAGTATAAATTTACGTGCAATTTAAATGCGTATTCAATATTAAGCGCGCAATTTTCCGGATAGTTTTGCCAACAAACGTGACCATTATCTACTTGGACGGGTATTTTTCTTTATCTCGATGTGTATGAACAATATGCTCTTTCGACATTCATTGAGCTTTTCAAAAACGTCGCGGCTGTATGAACTTTGGAAACTAGGACGGATGTTTTCCATGACAACGCAAGTAGACCTTTTCTTGAATACGTTTTCCTACTTAACGACCGCGATAAATATGGAAAGATAAGGTATTTATCTCACGATTACGAAAAAAATGGAGAAAAAAATATCATGGCAAAAGGCTTTTTTTAACCACAAGCAATTTTTTTTGCGCGAAAAAAAAAAGTTGTTCCAACACAGAGTACTGAAAATCGGTAAACGTGTCCATCAAGATGATGGTAAGGCAGAACAGAAGAAGAAGGAAAGAAAAGCTCCGCAAGCTCGAGACGAGGGCGTCAACTGACAGTACTCACCGGTGATGGACATCCAGGGGTAGCGCGGCAGGTCGGGTATACCAGGCTGTCCGGAGGTCGGCTGCTGACACGAGCCAAGTGGATCGACGACGCTCGCCGCGGCCGCCTGATGGTAGAACTGCGCCGCCGCTGCCATGGACGTCATCGAGGCCGCTGACACCGAGGACGCCGACGCGGACGACACGAGGCTCCCGGGCGTCGTGCCGTTCTGGTGGTGGTGCCCGAGGGTGTAGTTGACCATGGGATCGGCGCTGCTGGGCGCCACGTTGCCCGTCAAACTAGCGGTGTATCTGCACGACTTGTCACCCGTGGCTGCGTCCACGGCGGCGGCTGCGGCCAGGGCTGCACTCGACGCCGCCGAGCTACCGAAGGTCGGCACCATGCTCGACGTCGCGCCGAAGGCGGCGGCGGCCACGGCCTGCTGCTGTTGGTGGTGGTGGTGGGCCGCCGCGGCCGAGACGTAGGGATACATGCTGGATGTGGGGCGGGCCGCGGGCGAGGTCGAGGCCGAGCTGCCCGAGTGCTGTGGACTCGAGCCCGTCGGGCTGGGCGTGCTGTGGTGCTGGGCGTAGCTGGCTGCCGCCGCGGCAACCGCGTTGCTGAGGCTCGACTCGAGTTGGCTGGCCGCTGCTGCCGCTGCCGCTGTCACTGGACTGGTCGCGATGATGCCTGGCGCGGTGCCTCCAACTGCTGCTGCTGCCGCCGCGGCCGAACAGGCAGCCTGGACTGAACTGGGGTTCGCGGTCGAGAACAACTGCTGGTACGGCGACGGATGCTGGTGGTACTTCGGGAGCATGCTATCGATTATGAATTTCGAACTCATAGCGCGCCGGGAGGGCTGTCGCTCTCACCTTCCAGGGCGCACCGCTGCTCTTGCTCCTCCTGTCCAACGTGTAATGTGTAGCTCGTTTTAAACCACCGGGGCAACGAAAATAGGAGGAACAGCTACAGGGCGATTAGCTGGACCACTCGCGATTAGCGACGGTAACTAGGCGCGCACTGCCGTTGAGCCGAGGCGCCGGGTTGGCGCGACTCCGCCCGCACATCCTGGCTACTTCGGGTTATAAGGTGTGTACAGCGGTATCCCAGCTTTGATCCAGCACAGGCAGTAATGCTTCACTATCCCGACAAACTCGCGCACTGTTTCTGTTACTGCGGCACTGACAACTCGGCAATTGTCACTCTTTTTGTACTTGGGGGGGGGGAAAATATAACTAACAAACAACCTTACGAGTAAAGAGTTCGCTCGCGTACCACGAAGCGACGACGCACAGAGTTGTCCCGCCAGCTGCTCCGGAGCAGTGATGATAAACGGGAACACACTGTAGTACAGAAGCAGACGACGACGACAACACCGCGGAGTGGCGAGGGAGTCTGCGAGTGTCAGCGGGCGACGACGACGGCGGTGGTGTCCCTCGCGCTCTCTCAGCTGATCCGCGTGTGCGAGCGACTGTGACGCTTGTCGGGAGAGCTTTGCCTATCGCCGTCGTAAAAATTAAAACACGCGAAGAAGGAGACTGCGGCTGCGGCGGCGTTGGATCAACAACGGCAGCAGCAGTAGTATAGTAGAATAGTAGTAGTTATCGAGCTGTAGTCAGTCAGACAGTCAGTCATAGGGTCGGCTCACCCTAATGGGAGAACAAGAGAGAGACAGTGGATGCGTGATGTACCGATGTGACGTGACGTGCAATAATGATGACGATGACGATGATGGTGATGATGATGGTGGTGCAGTAGTGTGTGGCGCGCCAATTCGTATCTCAGTCGGGCCGTAGTGCAGTAGTCGATGATGATGATGATGATGATGGCTAGCTGGGCCAGCCGCTCGTCCCGTCAGGTGCTAGAAGCCGTTTTCTTGCGTACTTCTCGGATAGTCGACGAATCCTTTATGGGCCATGCATGAAGGTACTATAGCCCCCTATCCCGAGCGCCGCGTACTACAACCGCGAGAGCGAGCAACACGCGCCTGTCCACCAACTCTGGATCTGTATCTGTGTTCGCGTGTGTAAATGTGTGCAGACGCGCGCACACACATATTTTACTCCGCTGCTTCCTTCTCCAGCACAACAGCACCCAGACCGGAGCAGCAGTCCGTCGTCGTCGTCCTCGGCACACACACGCCACAGCGGCGGCAGCTCGGTGTGTAACCCCTTACAGTAATGGCGCCCCGTGGATGCATGTGTGTGATCCTGTTTCTCCCTTTTCTCCCTCTGCTCTTTGCGCGTGTACGTTGTGAGCACACTGCACGGTCTTCCTACGGCGGTCGCGGCGAGCTTTTTCCCCCCTCTCCTGCGGCGCGTATGGCACGCCACCGCGAAGAGAAGAAGAGCCCGTGCACGGAGCGGGGCGCCAGCTGGTAAACAGAAGCGGCCAATCCGGGCCCGGCCTTACCCAGTCCCGAGCCAATCGGCTTTGGCCTCGCCGCGCTGCCGCCAAGATGAATGGGAACGCGCTCTCTACTGCGCGCCACGTCTGTGTTGGTCCTGTTCTGACTTCTTGGCTGTCTCTATGTGCCTGTCTGCCCGTCTGACGCTCTCTCTCTCTCTCTCTCTCTCTCTCTCTCTCTCTGGCTCACTCGTGACTTCTGTGATGCTGGTGGCTGTGGCTCCTCGTGCGCTTGCGAAAGAGAGAAGGCCGAGCTGCTGTCAGTCTGCTGGCACGCCACGTTGCCTCCCTTCTCATGCCTGACCCTATATACATGTGTGTGGCCGAACATTTTTCCTCTCCCTTCGCTCCCTCTTCCGTCTCACGTTTGTGCCCGTCTCTCTCCCTCCTGCTCCGTTTCTCTTCTCCACGTTCCTGCTATCGTTCTCTCTTTTGCGCTGCTGGCAGAGCGTGTGTGTGTGTGCCTAGAATGCACCGACCGGAGGAGGGTAGATGAAGCAAGAGGCCGTTTTGCACTGAGAGGCTGCACGAGGTCGTATCGGAGACATCGTTGGTAAATAAGGAGGGAAAAAATCGAACGGGGTAATGACAAGGATGGCCGGAAAAACAGCCACGAACGAGGTCCCGGTATGGGTCTGTCTACTTTCGGCTAGTTCTACTATCTGGCAATATTGTTGCTATGCTCCGGAAGTTCTCGGGGCGAGATAGCGTCAATCGCAAAATAACCGTCATTATTGTAATAAGTGCACTCATACTTACTGATTTCATTTTCAGGTCGTTGCTTGCGTATCTCCATGTTGGTCCGTATTTCTTGTTTGCATTCGAACGAATTCACAGTTTGTTTGCACTAATGATTTATAGCGCAATAAAAGCTATGTTTCAACAAAACCTCATTTTCCTCCGTTGCTTTTGAGTAAATTTGTTTTTTCTTTTTTTTTTTTTTTACGGCCTCTTCTCGGAGACTTTTCGGTGGTAATTAATTCGTCGCGTTCGTAAAACTAATTTTTCAGTGCTCAATAAATCAACAGACTCTGCGGTTTTATTATAACTTCGGGGTATTAAAAGTGTACTGACTTGCTACCAACCGCGTTTATTTTTAACTTTAGACCGTTGCCAAAGAGCAAATATCATATTGAGACACTTGAATTTTGTTTTCAATTGAGAAACTCGCCAAAATATACAAATTGTTATGGATATTTGCATCAATAGAAAGGGTAATGTTGTAAACTACTCACCAACTCGTAGAAAACCCTGTAACAAACACAAAAACCATCGATTAGATCTATGAATTCAAATCACTTGAAATTACAATTTTATGAAAGAAACAATAAAAAAAATTTTATAGAAATAACACAGGAATAAAAACAATTTAAGAGCAGCACATTATACGTCAGATATTTTTTTTGGCACGTTACACCATTTTGTGTACTTTATTGGTAAATTCAATGATAAAAGTAAAATAAATAGGTACATAGTAAAAAAATAAAGATACTGTGTGAACCTCAGTTGAATGAATTTGTTATACAACAAATACTGACTACAATTCTTTGTTCGTACCTTACATCGCTTGGGTATTGAACGAAACATACGCCTGCGTGCGTATACAATGGCAACCTAATTTTTAGGCGATGTACGATAACAAAAAAGAAAAAAAAAAAAAAATGAAAAATGGCCCCAAAACGCAGTATTTCTTTCCAAGGCGTGGTCGTGGGCACATAACAGTGACTGTAAAATTCATTAAAATCGATGCATCCCATATAAAGACTGACACGTACACGCATCTCGCTTCTCATCCCTTTGCTGAAGGAGAAAGGCACAGAGGACCTGGAAAGATGAACGGCCTCGCCCCTGACGTAAGGTTCTTTTGCGGCCTCGTAATGTCGCTTTCTCTCCCGAAAACCGCACCCAATGGGCATCACGAAAGAAAGAAAATAGAAGGGCTTTTGTAGGAGCACCGCGAGCAGCAGAAAAAGGCGAGAGAAAGCACAAAGAGAAAGAGTCGCATGTTTTCCATCTCCGGTGCCGATCGACGATGAAAATCTAACTCGTGACTGTCCATCTGGCATGCACGAGGGACATTTTTTAGTCTTGCGTATCAGATTTGGCACTTGAAAAGCCGAAAGAGGCTCGTTTGAGCAGCGGCTGACTGTAGTATGCAACGAATTGAAACTGTTTTTTAAAAACCCGGCTATCGGCCCCAAATCACCCCGACGAAGCTTTTTTATTTTGAAACTGCTCTTCTCGGAAGCACGTAAAATGTTGTTGCAAACAAACAATCACTGCGGTTTGCCCAGAGAACGTTTGACGTTTTATCGCTTTCCAACGACGTGTGAATGGAAACAGCCTATATCATGCAGTTTTCGGTGGATTTCATTTTATTTATTTATTTTTTTTTTTTTTTTTCTTCACCAACTTTGGTGCAAAAACTCGTGTCTTAAACCAACGTTTACAACACACTTTTCTATAAGCCTTAAAGCGGAGACAAACACCCATCACCGTTGCCGTATCAACAACTTCTCCCAAGGTGTAGTATAATTAATTCCGAGCATGCAGACAGGCGAGAAAACAGGTGTGAAAGCCCGTGTCTGCTTCGTGAAAATCGCGTGGGAAGTGAGACGCAATGATGCACCACGTCGTGTCGTATCCATCGCCGATGGCGCTAAATAGCCACCCATGTCGATCGTTAGAGCTCGAAAAGGGGCGAAAGACTCCGCTATAGTTTCCCCCCTCTCTCGTTACATACGTGACTGACGACTGCTTTCAAATCGATAGATCGAGGTGCTACGGGACATCGGTATACGTATACATACATGCACGTGTGCTGAATTCCGTGCACGTACATCTATACCTTCTACGACGAAGCTTGTGCTGTGGTAGAAAGCTTCTGTAGGTGCAGATGTACATGCACACGAGAAGGGGATCGGATCGCTCGGGCAGGTGACTCACGTAGACGAGCAGCGCTCGAGAAATGTATTATTAAGAGACTTATTTGGTGTAAATAACTTTTTTTGGTGCATTTGACAAACGCAAACAAAGGAAATAGCCTTAAAATTGAGGTCCAATTATTATCGCTTGGCCAACACCTATCGGTCAATAATTTCTCTTCTACGTGCACTTTCGCAGCCAATCGGTAAAAGGGTGCGCGCCCGCGCGCAGACGCACTTCTTCGCGTATACGCAGGCCCAGCCACCAGCAGAAGTTGCTTGGACCTATATTATTTGCGTATTCATGTGTGTACACTCTTGTAATCCCACCGTGTGTACGTGGATCGGCAGGACAGAGTGGTACATTGCGTGGCCGCTTCTGCAAAAGAACAAGGTCCTGTAACTATATACCAACACCCATCCTCGCACACGTACGCAAGGGGTTGAAGAGAGCGAGTGCAGCAATGATACGATGGGAGAAAGAACACGAAGGGTAGAACAAGACACGGGAGAA